GTCCAAGGTCTGCTAGTGTTTGCTGGTCGGTCTCCGAGGTCGGGGGTGTTTGCAGCTGGGAAGTTTTTCTTTTGCGCGTGGGACCCCCAGATCCGATTCCCGGGTTGTTGTTTGTTTTTGGGTGCTAGTATGTATCGCCGCCCCTAGAACCAGTCCTTGGGGGGGGAGGAGTACGTTCAGCAACCGATCCTCGTCAGGGGATATCAGGGACCATACAACCGACCACCATTCATTGAAAGTATCTACAATCTCAGGGTTGGAGCGGAAAGGAATATAAGAATTGGAAATTATATACGTGGTGAGCTGGGAGATATAAGAAGGGATTGATTTAGGAAGGACTCGTCGGTCGGGACTTTGAAAAATTATTTGGGGACACGCGACGGGTCCAGGGATACCTTGGCAACAGCCGAACTGGCGCGCCATGAATTGAGGTTCATAGTTAAAAGTGTAAAAAGTTTTCTGCCCTTTTTTATCAAGTTTCTTGCTACTAAAAAGAGACCTGGGTTTGAGGGCGACGTCCCAGGCGAAAGGATAGGTGGGATGAGGACAAGGCTCAGGAGTCGGAAGCGGGTTTGGTACTGGAAAGGGCCAAAAATGGTCGGGAGCATAACCCGCATATTTTTTATACATAGAAAATCGAGAGTTACTGCGGGTATCTGTTAAAATGGCAGTTATTATTGGATCGGACGATTGGAGTTTATTGCGTCCTGAGCAGAGTCGGTTGAGGACTAATCCTAAATGTTTTTCAGATGTTGGCATAGTGGGCGGAGATCCTAAGTTAAACGCGTTGGGGAAGTAAAGACGGAACCAAAGTTCTAAAAACCAAAAAGGACCCGATGCGGCAGTGTCTAATTTCCTATTATCGTTATCTGTTAAACGAAGGCTAACCCTGGTGAGTCCTTCGAACAGATTGGCTAAAAATAGGGTGCCAAGGGAGAAGAACCGACCTGACGCAATATGAATGGCCAGGTCGAGGTGAGAAGGAAGGACACTTTTGGAAGGGGAAACAATGACGTACCTACAAAGCCAGAACAGGATAAAGGCAGTATGCTCCCGGTCGGTTACAGGGGTCCCTGGAGCCCCTTGCTGGTCGGTTGCGAACTTTGTCCAACCCCATTCCTTCACACCTTGTAAAGACCATCCCGGATGGTCTTCTGATGGCTCCTGCCCATCTAGGGCTCCCATTACAGGGTCTTCACCCACGACTGGGAGATGTGCGATCATGGCCACGTCCATAAGAGTTGGGCCAAAGGGGCCTGATGGGAAGAGGAAAGTCCCATTTTCCGCATTCCAGAAGGCAGACATGGCCAACAACACCTTCTCATGCAGGTTGATAGGCATGGTGGACAGCAATATTGCTTGGTCGATTTTTTGGGAACGCCATTGGGTCTGGAAATGTTCTGCTACTCGTCGATACCAAGCGCGATACAGATCTTTTGGGTCTGTGAGATGGGTCTTGATGCTGTCCCGGATGCGAACTGCTTGGTAGTTGGGATTGTTGATAGCCAAGGCGTTGCGAGATTCCAAAACTTCCCTCATCCGATTTGAATCTTCAGGAGTAGTGCAATATGGACGGATCGTCGGAGTTAGTACTTTCGAGGCTGAAAATGGACCTTCTGGAAGGGTTCCGTCGAAAGGAAGGGCAGGCATGTATTGATTCGCCATAGTTAGAATGTTTTGGGATTGTGATTCACACAGGCTTGTATTGCGAAGAAGGAAGTTTATCAGGAGTGTTTCAGTAACTGGTGCAGTTGCTAAGGGAGTTTTTCAAGAGGGTAGTGATTTATGAACTTCCAAACATTGATTGTTAAATGGCGTTTGAAAGTCCCTTGGCGGCGGGCAAGTTGTTACGTACGAAATTTAGAATTAGGTTAAAAGCCCAAGGTAAAAAAGAAGAATGGGCCTGGCAATAGGGTTGATTGAACTGGCTGAAGGACACCGTGAGGAAATCAAGGAAAATAAATTTATTTATTTATTTCTAAGGAAAATACAGGACGGAAGGTTCTCAGGTCGGTAGGTCCTCAGGACGGAAGGACTTCAGGTCGGTAGGTCCTCAGGACGGAAAGACCTCAGGTCGGAAGGTCTTCAGGTCGGTAGGTCTTTAAGACGGAAAGTCATTAGGACGGAAGGACCTCAGGTCGGTAGGTCCTCAAGACGGAAGGACCTCAGGTCGGAAGGTCTTTAGGTCGGTAGGTCTTCAAGACGGAAAGTCATTAGGACGGAAGGACCTCAGGTCGGTAGGTCCTCAAGACGGAAGGACCTCAAGTCGGAAGGTTTTCAGGTCGGGAAGTCCTCAAGACGGAAAGACCTCAAGTCGGAAGGTTTTCAGGTCGGGAGGTCCTCAAGACGGAAAGACCTCAAGTCGGAAGGTTTTCAGGTCGGGAAGTCCTCAAGGCGGAAAGACCTCAAGTCGGAAGGTTTTCAGGTCGGGAGGTCCTCAGGACGGAAAGACCTCAAGTCGGAAGGTTTTCAGGTCGGGAAGTCCTCAAGGCGGAAAGACCTCAAGTCGGAAGGTTTTCAGGTCGGGAAGTCCTCAAAGCGGAAAGACCTCAAGTCGGAAGGTTTTCAGGTCGGGAAGTCCTCAAGGCGGAAAGACCTCAAGCCAGATGGTTCGCAAGTCGGGAGGATTGGCGGTCGGACCCATACTATTGTAGATTGGCAGTCGGGCCAAAAGAGCGGAAGGTCTGTGGTCGGCTCAAGGAGTGAAATATAGGGAATTTTTGGTCTGCTGGGGACACGTGTCAGCATAAGAAAGGTTGGAAGACGGTTGAGAAGGAGACGTTGTAACCGTTCGGGTGACGGTTTTCAGTACGGTTTCCCAGGGAATATTTAAGGATTTGGATCATCATTTGGCAAGGAATCTTCAATCAACTTCAACAAAGCAAAGTCAGATTTGGGGATCACCACTTTAAATTTCAGTCTTTTATTTTCCAGTTTATTTTCTGTATCATACAGTGTTTAGAGATTCCTAATCTCAGGCACTAATTAATCAAGTTTAAGGATATTTTCTATATCTTTGAATTTTACTTTATTTTTGTTGAAAAATTACATCAACAATTATATATACTGTCACTTTTGATTAAAAAAAATTTTTTTTTATCCTTGTATCATTTTAAGTATTTATTTTTATTATAATAAAAATAACAACTAATTAATATCAAAATATTTTTAAATTTTTATATGATTTATAAAAAGATAAAAATATAAAAATTATTTTACATATTTATACTAATTAATAAAATATTATTATTATTTTTAAATTTATTTTAAAACTCCAAAAATTACTCTTTGGAGATGCACAACTATTTTTTTATTTTTCTCTAAAATACATCCCTTAGATGATTTTTCCTCAATTTGATATCTTTGTTCCAATCTCACACCCAAAACCAATGTTTTGCCCTAAAACCAAACTAAAGAAGATATGATACATTTATTATATTGAGGAGTATATTTTCATTTCCTTAATTACTTTTTAACACTCCAATCCGAAAGTCACGCAGATCAGACTTGTCAGAATTAGACTGATCTTATATGTAAATATGAGTTTTTTCAGTGCATTTTGTTCTTACACACATCAGGGTCACAGATTCTGAAATTATTTTAGATCAAGAGTTTAACGGTAAAATTATCTCATGTGGGTTTCGGAAAAAAATGCACATTATTGACGTAAATAGCCTATTTGATTCACTTAATCTCTATTCACCTACGGTGTATCATCGCAATTACTTTCTTAATATTTGAAATGTGTATAATTTAGCCTATGGTCACTCATTTATGTATATTTAGTATATATTGAATTTAACTTCACAAATTTGATATTTCAATTTGTCCCAACACAAGATAATTATTCTATCTGTTTTAATTCAAATATTTTTTTACTATTTTTTTATATTGACTTTAAAGTATCTATTTTTTATTTTAGAAAAAAAAAAATAATTATACATTAATATTAAAATATTTTTAATTTTTATTTAAATTACAAACATATCATTATGTATATAATTACTTTACTTTATACATTAAGTCAAAGACAAGAATGTGAAAAAAATTTACACATTTTTATTGACTAATAAAACTGCTCCATCATTCTCGTAATAAACTATCAATTTTTTTATTTTGGTCTGTCCCAAGTATTCTTTTTTTTTTATTTTAGTAATTGTATTATTTACATAAATTACAAATACTCCTACAACTTACAACATATTACACAAATGTCATTACTTTTATATTATAATGTACTAATAAAGTTATTTTTATTATTTTTATATTATTCCTACTATATATATATATATATAATATAATACTAATATACTATAAACTATGTACAAAAATGAAATGAATACTGAATGAAAGACGGAGGAGAGTATTATTTCTTAACTTACTACGTAACTACCAAAAACCATTTATTAGTCTACTTCACAAAATATTTTTTTTTCTCAAATATTAAATCAAATATTTATTTTCATCTTCTATATTATTTTAAGGGTAAACTGTTTTTTGGTCCGTAACTGGATTCCTTTATCATTTTAGTCTCGTAAGTGGAGCCTATCGCAAACTAATTCTATAAGTGAAAAATTTTCGTTGTTTTAGTCCTCCGGCGCCGGAGATGCCCGCGTGGCTTGCCGAATGTGACATGTCCGTCAGATGTCGCTGACCTGGCGGACACGTGGATTTTTTTTAAATTTTTTTAATTTTTTTAAAACTTATTTTTAATTTATTTTTAATTTTATTTGTATTTTTTTATTTTTTATTTGATCCAATTAAAAATAAATAAATAAATAAATCCACGTGTTCGCCAAATGTTGCTGACCTGGCTGGACACCTGACGGACACATCACCTCTGTCGAGTCACGCAGGCGTCTCCGATTCCGGAGGACTAAAACAACGAAAATTTCTATCTTATGAAACTAGTTAAAATGATAAAGGGGTCACTTCGAATCAAAAAAATAGTTTAAACTTATTTTAAATATCAATTTCACTCTATATCATTATACAAATATTTTATCATCCACAGCCGGCCTCCCCAATTTCTCCCTCTTTCTTTTTCTTCTCCTCACTAGAATCCGATCACTCCGCTCGTCAATTTCCGACCAAAGAATTAACCGGCGGCGACAGGATATTTCCGGCGAAACCAGGCCACTGGCCGAGATTCGAATCAATTTCACGGGGAAAATTCAGATTCATCTCTGCGATTAAGTGAAACTGAGAGTAAGCTTAGGTTTTCAATTTTGAAGCATAAATCTGTGTGTGGATTCGATAATTGACAGCACACGCATCTAATTTTCTTGAATTCGATTAATTTCTTAGCTTTATCGGATAACGAAGTGAGAGCTTTAGTTTAGTTTTCATTTGTGATTATTCAGCCGTTTATGTTTCTTGCTCTTCTGGAGAGATTCACGTGGCTATAGCAGCTATCACTGTACTTTTTGCTTGGATTTCCATGGATGCTATGGCTGTTGTCTTTTGGAGCTTGATTGTTTCGGAAATTAAACTTGACTGAATATAATTACGGTTGTCTGTGAAGTAAATTGGTGTTTTCAGAAGCTAAATAGGTTAAATAGATTGCCTGTAGTGTTGATCATTAAAAATCAACAGTGTAAGTGAGAAGCATCCAGGAGTTCGAAATAAGCAGTCGAAAATGGACACAGCTTCTTTCATGTTGATTTATATTAAAAATGGCAAAAAGAGTAAGTTAGAGAGGATGAAACTCAAAAGGAATTGAATATGAGTTGGTGATTAGTAGATAATACATATATATATATAACCGGATCGATTTGGGGATATAGGCAGAAGTTCTTCTCATTTTCATAGTATATCTTCTACGACTCCAAAATATTATTTTTGATTCATTGAACCGAAAACTGACGCTAATAGGTAGAGAATACTCATGGGCGCGAGACTATTCAACAATGGGAGATTTGGAGGAAGTAGAATTCCATTTTTCCCATGTATTAGTGTTGTATTTGAATTTGTAGCCAATTGTTCAATAATCATGACGATTCTGTAATTTAGAGTGTTTTGATAGAAGAGTGTGATTGGTTTACAATATTCGAACCACTTTCTTTTTTGGTTTCTTGGTTTATCGCTCTCCCATTGGATTTCTCCACTGCCAAAAATTGACTTTTTATTAATTTAATGATTTGTTTATAATAGATTGGGAAATCGGTTAATACAAATGAGAAACTTGGAAGAAGTCTTCACTATTTATCTAGAAACTTCGAACTGAGATGGCCTTTCTTGGAGATAAATTGTGAACTTTAATATAGTGTTGCATAGTGACTTAAAAAAACCCGAGTCCGATATATAGCTTTGATATAATTAGCTTTAAGGTATACTTTACTTAGCAGCTCCGGTCCCTTTTCGGTTATTGCTTCTGTGAAGATAGTAGCTGAATAATCCAAAGGTGTTATGTAGTAAAAAGTGTTGTATTCGTGTAATAGTGGTTTTCTATAGATTGGTACGGTGAAGCTATCACACCTAACCGAGCCATAAACATCGAAGTTGAAAAATGACAATGAAAAAGAATTATAGGCTTCATGTTATTTAGGTTTCATCCCAATTTACTAGAAATGAAGAATTCATTTGCCTCGTTTCCTTCAAGTTAATTTAGTTCCAAGGAGATGGTCGAAAGTTTAATTGATTAGTCGAATTTTCTGTTGTGCTATAGATTCAGTTTTTGTGGTTAGGTCTTTAATGTATTAAAGGCACAATTATATAACACCCCTTTGTATTTTAGTAAAAATGCATAAAACATTCGTTTTATTTATTGCGTGAAACCCCTGTGTAATGTAAAGTTTGCACAAAACATTCTCCTTGTCCAATGATATTTGATTATAAATATGAAACTAATAATGCAAGTTTTATAGAAATAGAAAATGTAAAATATTTTAAATAATTTTTTTTGAATGAAATAAATAAATAAATAATTGATTAATCTTTCGTTTTATAGTTTTTTAAAAATATATTATCATCTGATTTTTACAAAAACTAGAAAAATAAATGAATGATCAAATTATTTATTTATTTTATTCAAAATAATTATTTAAAATATTTTATATTTTTTATTTGTATAAAACTTTAGTAATGTAGGTCTTTTTTTTGACAAGAATGATGTTTCGTGCAAATTTTACATTAAACACAAAGGGGTTTCACGCAATATATAAAATACGGTGTTTTGTGCATTTTTACTAGAATACAAGGAAGTGTTATATAATTTACCCTGTATTAAATTGCCTTCTCTGGTTGTCTCTCCAGATACGACGCACTATTATCATTCAGGAATTTGGTTTTTGAAATTTAAACGATAATTTGATAAATGTGTAACCAATGTAAAGCTAAAAGACAAGCCCAATTCAAAATATAATATATTAATAGAAAAACAAGTAAATAAAATTTAAATCCGCGAACAGCAGGCCTAAGCCCATCCCCGTCGTCAATACACAAGCATTTGTCAAGACTCCTCTTTCTTTTTAATCTTAACTTTATGCTATTTTCGATTTTGCTTTCTATCAGTAATCCTCAGTCATTTACAATAAAACCCTTGTCTTTTATGGGGTTGTTTTTCTTTTTGGTTGTTTCTTGCACACTTTATATTTGTCCTAGTCATTTCTCTTATTTTTAGACAAAATTCATTTGCCCTGTAAAGGATGGTCGAGTGTGTGTGGTATGGAGGCATATTATTATTGTTATTTTATATAATCCTATTAATTTCTATTATTAGATGTTAACTATAAGTCGAAAGCAAAGAGTACCTAGCTTGTTCGAACATTTGTAGCCGTATTAACATCAAACTTGCGAATTTGACGAGTTTCTTGATCACTAAAAAAGTGTCGTGTATGTACACCGCAGGATAGTCCGGCAACAATTGCGCCAAAGAAATGGACAATAACAACGAGGAAGAGAATCACACACCCATTGTAGTAAAGATTTTGTTCTTCGCTCGAGCCAGAGATGTGACCGGGACGAGCGACACATCATTGGAAGTCTCACCAGGTACCACGGCTCACGATTGTTTGAATAAGCTTATTGCTATATTTCCAGGCTTGGAAGAGATTCGTAACTGTATGGTCATAGCTGTGAACGAGGAATACGCCTCGGAATCGACTCTTGTCGAACATAAAGATGAATTGGCAATCATACCTCCTATAAGCGGCGGGTAGAAGAATACTTCGATGGAAATTATACGATTATATATGTGCCATTGTGTAATCGAATGGATTGTCTGAGCTATGTATTGTGTTGCATTTGATTTGATCGTATATATGTGAATCATCCCTTGTATGGGAGGGAAAAAATTGAATTACTCGCCCGGGGAAATCCCCGGTTGCTTATTCAATAATGTCACGTATCATGTTGCATTTGGTCGAAAATATTTGAATCTAAATTATTTGCCAGAAAATTTTTAACTATCTATTTATTTTTGTATTTTGGTTCTGTTTTAAAACAAAATATTTATTTCATTTTTTATAACTCTAATACTTACTTACTATTAAAATTACCTTTAAATTTACACTTATTACAAATATATTACTGTAATAATTTTTTATCTTGAAGATATTTTAATTATTTTACCTTTATTCTGCACTCCAAAATTTATACCAGAAAAACAAAAAGATATGGAAGGAAGAGATTAATAAGAGGTCATTTAAATCTATTCATTTTTTTTTTTCATTTTTTGTTATTGAAAAATATTCTTGTTTTTTTAAGTAAAAAATTATTATATTTTTGTATTTTTTTTTACTATAAAAGAAGTTATTATTATTCACTTTTGTTAAAATTTATGTTCGATTAAATAAGTATATATTTGCAACACAGAGAGAATATATAATAAGAAGTAATTATTAGTATTATAAAAAAATCGTTCTTTACGTCCGGAAGCCATTATATCTTGCTTTTTATTTGTATTATTTTTATTTATTTAAAGTAGTTAGTTCGAGGTCAACATACAACCACAATAAATACAATATATATATATATATATTAATAATATTAAAGTAACATAAATTACTCATAAGACGAAAATGATACAACCCTCATTTCTTGCCCTCTATATTTTCTGCTCAGCATGAATAGGGCAAGAAATTAATTTTTATTTTTTTTTTTAAAAAAAAAAAAAAAAAGCAAAAAGGACAAACAGATTGGTTCTTCAAATGATAATAATAAATCAAACCTGAGAAGCACTCCTGAATGATCCCAAGGCTTTAACTGCACCAGCCCTCAATATGAACTGATGGTAGAATGCTGCAATGGCTGCCCCTATGAATGGTCCTACCCAGAATATCCACTGCCCAAAAACATATCATACCATCAGTTCAATTATATATTCCTCATTTCATTCAAATTATATAGTATATATAATAGAGCTAAACCGATTTTTTTGTCTACTTTTTTTGTTTTACTTCCGTAACTAGAGTCTGTCGCAAACTGGTTTCATAACTGAAAATTTTTCGCATTTTTAGTCCTTAGTTTGCGACAAACTCTATTTACGGAACTAAACTATTATAGGAGGATCTATAGAAGGATGTGAATATGTACTTGATCATCCCAAGCCTTGTCATCATTGAAGATGACTGCAGCTCCAAGGCTCCTTGCAGGATTGATGCCGGTGCCGGTAATCGGAATGGTGGCCAGATGCACCATGAACACCGCGAATCCGATCGGAAGCGGCGCCAGCACCTGCAGGTTGTATTTGTATCCAAAAGACAGGTTACACAACTACATTTATATCAACATATATATGCAGATAGAGGGATAGAGACAACTAGCAAAAGGATACATAGTTTAATGTGAGATTCATAAGAGAGTTACATGTATAATTATGATCCTTTTGGAAAATTCACTAGTTTTAATTGAGGAAAGATTATTAAGGGTGTGTTTGTTTGGGAGATTGGATTTTAAATACACTATTCATCCCATTTTTTTCTCCCAAAAATATCAAATTAAACATTTATTTTTTATTTTTTATATTATACTGAAAATCAATTTTACATTCAAAACATCACATCAACACCTATTTATATCACATCATACAACTATTCAAATTCAAAATTTTTACTATTCAAATCTCAATTCAAAATCCAAACCCCAAACAAACACACCCTTAAATATAAATACATAAATACATAATGGGTGTGTTCTTTTATCAAATATCCATATATTTTTATTATTCTTCAAAAAAATTTCCTCCAAAAATATCAAATTAAACATTTATTTTTTATTTTTATATTATACTAAAAATTAATTTTACATTCAAAACATCACATCAACACATATTTATATAACATCAACAACTATTTCAATTCAAAAATTTTATTATTCAAATCTCAATAAAAAAAAATAAAAAATACAAACCTCCAAACAAACATACCCATGAATGTATATAGAGAGAAAGATATATATAAAGTTTAACGTGAGATTCCTAAAAGAGTATAATGTTTCTTTAGATAGGTTTTAAAAAAAAAATGTTTTAATTTAGTATTAAAATAATATATAATGTGATATTTTATTAAAAAATATATATTTTTTTCGAAAAACGCACATCGAAGTAATAAAATCCTAGCAAAAGAAACATACAATATAATCCTTTTGAAAAATTCACAAAGATAATTAATATCAACATAAAGGGGCTAAATCGCTGCAACAAATAAATATATATATATATAGATATATATAGAGAGAGAGAGACAAACAATAGTTTAATGTGAGATTCATAAAAGAGCTATGTGTATTATTATGATCCTTTTGAAAATTCACTAGTTCAAATTGAGGTTGGGCCATGGCCTATCCCTGAAGTTATGCAGAGCAATAAATTAATTCCCATGTCACTTTTCGATCATGAATTTCTTAAAGTTGCAACCACCACATGTTTTTTCGAAAACCTAACCAATCTTAGCTAAGCTGTACACCAGATCTCATGTCTCATTATTTCACTACTGTTCATATATCATCAGATCGGATTTTCCACCTAACCAACACTGTGAGCAGTTACTGCAGATAATGACGAACAAAAACGTGATTTCCTTCATCTAACTACGCAATTTCGCCAACAGCAGTTGAAAAACAATCGATTCACGTGGAGGAAACGTATGTATATGTGCTAATTATTGCTATGTTGCGATTGAACATATAATTTATGCTAGACATGATTTTACTCCATTGTTGAAGGAATTAAGCTTTGTAGAATGAAGTTCGGTGTACTCACAGGGATATGAGAGTCTCTGGCGCTCCTTTTGGGGTCGGTGGCGGAGAAGACGGTGTATACAAGCACAAACGTGCCGATAATCTCCGCGCCTAGTCCGACGCCGGTGCTGTAGCCGTCGGCGAGGAGATTAGCGCCTCCGCCGTACCTTTTGTAGTACGATTTCTGAAACGCCTTCACCAAACCGACTCCACAAATCGCTCCTAAACACTGCGCCACCATATACATAACCGCTCTCACCAGAGACACTTTCCTCGCGAGGAACAACCCTAACGTGACAGCTGGATTGATGTGACCACCTGCACAAGGTAAGCACGCACTCAAGTTTCAAAAAAAAGGTTCCTAAACTGAAATTCATCTCGAAATTAGGGTTGAGGCTATCGGACCTGAAATTCCGGCGGTGCAGTAGACGAGAACGAAGATCATGCCTCCGAACGCCCACGCAATGCCGAGGATCCCCACGCCGCCGCACTCGTCGGCCGACGATTGGCTCTTGTAACCGATTACCGTTAAAACAGTCACGTACAGGAAAAGCAGAGTCGCTATAAATTCCGCGATCAAAGCTCTGTAAAACGACCACTTGGTTAGCTCCTCCGCATCTATCAGCGGCGCCGGCGGCGGATCGTGGTAGTCCTTCGCTCCGAAGGAGCCGTGCTCGCTCACCTCCTTCGTCATCGTGGTAGCGTAGAAATGTATAGATACAGCGTTCTGTATGTATAGTGTATTTTATACAGTGTCCGTACGTATACTGTGGATTTCTGCAGTTGAGCAGTTGTAGTGAGGAAGACGGGGTGGGGTGGTATTTATAGTGCGAAAATTAGAATAAAATAAAATTAGAAATAATATTAATTAATAGTTAAATTATTTTTAAATTTAAATTGATAATTGGGCTGTCAATGGGCCCATAGGATAGATTGCATTTTCGCCGACCCACGATACTCGGGCCCACCACATATGTGTCGAACGGCTAGTAAGTTGGTGTATATTTACTCAATTGCCCTCAAAATTTTCACGATATATATGTAGCTAATTGTAATTATGTGTTTATTGTGGTTGAGTTTGAAAAAAATTGATTTAAGTTTTATATTAAGATAATAGTTGATGAAATATTTTGTAAAAAAATAAATAGTATATATATATTTTTTTAAAAAAATACAGAGTTTAAATTGTAAAATTTGAAAAATTTGAAAAAATTTTACAAAAGAAACAAACTTCCGTCTCATTTTTCATGTCCATCTTTGCATTTTCGTCTTCCCACTTATTCTGTCACTTTTTAAAAAAAAAATAATTATACATTTTAATCTCATTTTTTATTTTTTATTTTTAATTTATAATTAGACTAATTAATTTTCTTAATCTTAATCTAAAATTATTTTTATTATAATTAATTTTATTAATATATTTTTAATTATTTATTAATTATATCTTTCTTAAATTCTTGAGTCTTACAATAAAAATAACATGATAGTCGAGACGGATAGAGTAATACACCGTATACATAGTTACAGAATATACTCCCTCTGTCCCAAAAGAGTTATTTTGTTTTTCCATTATGGTCCGTCCCAAAACAACTGTTTTGTTTCCTTATTTAGTAATTGTGGTCCTCATTTTATAACAAAATTATTCATACTTTTTCAAATTACCCCTAATTATTACTCTAACCTACTTTTTGAATTCTTTCAAAAAAGCTAAGTGCATTCTATTCTTTTACATTCTACTTTATACTCATTTTCAATTAAATACTATTATTTTTTAATTTTTGTGTCAACTCTCAACGAGACATCTCTTCCGGGACGCCGGGAGTATTATATAATGGCTGTTAGGGTACTAATTAAAAGAAAAAACCAATATAGTGCTAACTACATGTTATAAAGGGAAATAACGAATACAAACAATACAAAATGTTATAAAATATATATATATATATAATAAGTATTTATGTTGTATGAATGCATTTAATACGCTGAATTCATTTTAAAATTGTTTTGATTGTAAATATAAAATATTATAACATATGTAGTTTGTTTTATATTAATATAATAACCTATCTGTCCCATGTAATATGGATGCATTATTGTAAATACGAGAATTCAGGTAAAATATAATTAGTAAGTGATTAAAAAATGTATTAGTAAAATAATTATTGCATAGTAAATTTAATTTTAAATTAAGATAATTAAATAGTTTAATTAACATTAAAAAAATTATAATATTTAAAATGTGATTAAAGTGTATAATTATATTTTCTTAAAAAAAAACAAATTATGTAGGACGAACGAAAATAAAAAATAAAAACAAATTATATAGGACGGAGAGAGAGTACAATGCAGCTAACATATGAACTAAAAATACATAATATATGGATAGTTAGCACATAATATGTGTTAATAATACACTGTAGGAACAAAAACAACATACAAATTGTTGAATAAATGTGCGAAACTATTTTGTATGAATGAATATAATGCGTTAAAATCAATTATAATTTGTATTGTTTATTCTATATTTAACATAATAGAAATACGAGACATAAATGAATAATATATTTCATCTGTCCACTTACAATGTTTATATATTTTTATTTTGGAATGTCCAATTATAAAGTTAATATTTCATTAAATACTCTATTTTTTTTCACAAAGACCCTTATTTTACATCACATTATTACTTTTACACACAAAAAAAAAGTAAGAGCAAAAATGTCATTACATTACTTTTAACTACTCATTGTAACGTCGTCCCAAAAATAAATATAAACATTGTAAGTGGACGGAGAGAGTATATATAGCACAATTTGAAGTTGATTTCAGCCATTAAATATTTTTATATAATATAATTGTATATTTTTATTTAATCCAACATGTATTGTATTAAATAGACAAATATGTTATTTATCTGTTTTGTATATGCTCAAGTGAAAATTCCGAAATAATACCATCAAGTTATCTCTTGCTGATATTTATCTCTTTTATTTATATATAATGTTTTTTAAACAAAAAATAATAATTTTTTTTTTCAAAATATTATCAAAATAGCAAAGTAAGTAATAAAATAAAGTAAAACTCAGAGAAAATATAATAGTCTTAAATAATTCATTAAAAATGATATTTTATTCATCATTCAAATTTGTATTAATCAGATTAAAGTCTCCACTATATAATTAATTTATAAGAAAAAAAAAAAACTTATGCGTTACTCATTCAACATTACCGTTGCATCAGAAAAGAACATTTGTGTTGTGCCGTTGAGTTTTCAAAACTAATAATAATAATAATAATAATAATAATAATAGTAAAAGTAATACTCCATCGGTCCCAGATACCATGTACACATTGTCGTTTCTGTCCGTCCCACATACCATGTCACTTTCATTTTTTGAAAAATGATTACACACTTTAATCTCATTTTAAATTTTTAAATTTTATTTTTTTAAAATTTTAATTAAACTAATTAGTTATCTTAATCTTAATTTATAATTATTTATATTATAGGATAATTATTTTCACTGATACATTCTTAATTATCTACTAATTATATTTTTTCTAAAATACCGTGTCTACAGTGTAGCAGACACGGTATCTGGGACAGAGGGAGTAATTTTTATATATTTTTGTTAAATTTTTTTTTAAGTTATTTATTATTTTTATTTTTTTTTACTTCACTGTGTTGAAAAAGTAAAAAAAATAAAAAAATTGAATCGCTAAAAAAAAGAAAACTATATTTTGCCCTCCCATAATTTTATGGCTTGTTCCATCATTGGATATTATTATTATTATTCATTCCGTCCCACGTACCATGTCCACGTTGTCGTTTCTATCCGTCCTACATACCATATCCACGTTGTCGTTTATGTCCGTCCTACATACCAGGTCACTTTTTTTTTGGAAAATAATTATACACTTTAATCTCATTTTAAACTTTTAAATTTTATTTCTTTTTTAAATTTTAATTAAACTAATTAGTTATCTTAATTTTAATTTATAATTATTTATATTATCGGATAATTATTTTCACTAATATATTCTTAATTATCTTCTAATTACAACCCTCCTAAAATACCATATCTACAGTGTCACTGTATGTGGGACGGATGTAGTATTATTTTGATCGGATATTATTATTATTATTATTATTATTATTATTATTTGAGGTTTGGGTTCATTTTACAGTGATGCATCACATGATGACGATGGGGTTTAGAATCATTGTTGGATTTGGAAATCCTTTTGCCGCAAATGGTCGTTGTTAAATATTCAAATTGCTCAACTACTAACATCATCATCACCATTATTATTATTATTATTATTATTATTATTATTATTATTATTTCACATCTAACCGCATCCTTGTAATTTATTCAAAATAATTACGGGTTATACCAAAGTATTGCATTTTTGGAGTTTTATTTTTTTTGAAAAAAATTATAAAGAATACTATATATTTAATGTTATACTTTCTATTTTTATTTTTGTTTGTCTCGTAATAATTGACATCTTTCTATTTTTGGTAGAAATTATTAAATCAAAATATATTTAACAAATATAAAACAACTTAATTAACTACATAACATACAATATCATAAATGACGTAGGACCCACTCAAAACCCTTTTATTTCTACCTCTCTCCTCAAAAAAATAAATATTTTTATCTATATTTAAAACTACACATCTTTTATAAAATTGATTTATATTAATTATAAATAAAGAAATATATATATTTTTTATTTACTTGTATTATAGAAAATGTTATTCTGATATTCATATTGCATATATTTTTTAATTGCTATATAATTTTAAAATATTTAAACATATGTTTTAATTTTTTTATTCATATATATTAAATTACTTTAAAACTATAAATATTTTTATCATTTGTATTTTATTTATATGTGTAATTGTATATTTATAATTTATATAAAAGTGTAGTTTTAATTTGTATAATAGTAATTTAATGTGATATTTTTATAAAAAAATGAAAAATAAATAACATATTTTACTTTTATATGTAAAAGTGGTTATTAGGAATGTTGAAAACCCTAAGTTAAATACAAAATTTTTTATTTTTGTAGATTCTATGGTTTGCTGGCGGGGTTTCAAAATATTTTCTATATATATATATATATATATATTCGAAAAATATTATATTATATATATATTTTCTTATTTTTACTATACTAAGATTTTAAACTATCAAAATCTCGTATACACTTACACTAATTAATAAAATATTATTCGCTCCGTCCCAGCTAAATTTTCTCATGTAGCTTAAACATAAAATTTTAAGTATTGTGTAATTAGTAAATAATTAAAAAGTATATTAATAAAAATGATTATGATTTAATAACAATAATTATAAATTAAGATTAAAATAAAAAATTATAAATTATAGATTTTAAAATATAATTAAAATGTAAAAAAAATAAAATAAAATAAAATAAAAGACAGTGAGAAGTGTAGGGAACGCAAAGTTAAATGGTTATGTAATGATGAGTCTTACAAAATTGACCAATGGCCATTTTTTCTTTTCTTCAATAGTAAAAGTTTCTACTTTTACTGGGTGCGTTTCGATTGGGTTTCAAATGCAAATTAAAATTATTTAATTTGATTTTCTTATAAAAATAAATTTTCTATTCGTCTCGAATAATTTTTTAAAAATATTTTTTAATATATTAAAAAATAATTGTACGCGTAATGATATATTTGTATTTTGAATAAAAACTAAAATATTTTAATATTATTGTATAATTATTTTTATTAAAATAAAAATAAACTTACGACCGCAAA